CCATCTTTCCGATTCCAACACAAATTCCAGTTCCCAGCTTTCCGACTCCAGCGGCCGTCCCATCTCTCCGACTCCGGTTCCGAGTGCAGATCCTATCTCTCCGACTCCGGTTCCGGCTTCAATTCCATTTCTCGCCTCTCCGACTCCAGCTCCGATCCCGCCTACCCGACCCCAGATCCGATTCCAGCTCCCGCCGTTTCGGCTCCAGCTCACGATCTTGATTATCTATGTTGGCGGAATGGTTGAAGGTGTTCTGCAATTTCCGACTCCGATGGGCCCGACTTGCAGCGACGTGAGAGCCGGACATCCACGACCTCCAGCAAGCAGTCCGCAGACACGTGGGTCTGACAGCAAACAAATGTGAAGCGAACGATGATTTACACTAGCACAGGACAGGCCACACACAGCACTGACCACAAGTTCCACATCTGCAACTGAGGGCCCCGGCCCGCCCGCGCTGGCCTTCCAGGCACCGCCTCCCCGGCAGACTCAGGCGCGCGCCTTGCCCCTCGGGGGCCTATATCTTTCTTACCTGCAACGGGCATTTCGTGCACCCCGAAGGATAAGGGGAAAAAGAGGACAGATGGAAGGAAGGAAAAGACAAGGGTGAGGGAGGAGGATGGAGCACGAGAGAAAGTAGCTGGCAGAAGCAGACGGGTAAACCCTAACAGGCGGGTCGGGAAAGCGGGCCCAGGCGGCCAGGTCGAGCAGGCGGGTTGATGACGCGTGCGTCCTGCATGAATCACGAGGAAGTCTCGAACGATAGCGCGATTCCAAAATGAATCGTCAGGAAACCCAGCGCGAGAGCGTGATTTCTGAGTGTCCAGGGCGCAGTGTCTGAAAAAATGGTGAGCGCGATTCCTGTATAGGTTGTGAGGAAGTCCCGCGCGAGAGCGCGATTTTGGAATACAGAGTGAGGCAGTATAGAGCGGGAGCGCCCAACAACCCAGTTTGGTGGCCCTTCACTATCCCTCATACAAACTGGGGTGCGAGCCCCAGGAGAAACACTTTAATTGAAAAATGCAATGAATACCGGAGGGGGATCAACCAAAATTATTCGTCAAAGTGACAATTCAACAAAATCAACAACAACAATATCACAAACAACAGCAGCAACAGCAATAACAACAGCAACATCAACAACAACACCAACAACAACAACAATCATTTCAAGACTGTTCGCTCCCATCTGTTCGCGTGCCATTCAACACGTACATCCCAGACCATCGGTACCCACCCTCTTCGTCTTCGATCATACTCCCTTGGTATGTCGGCCTTATCTGCCACGTGCATGTAGCGCACCCCCCCCCAACCAACAATTATCCTGCGACGTACCCAACCCATTTGCATCAAGCGGCCCGGTGCAATAATCGGCAAGTATCGCCGTGAAGAACGACAGTGCAAACGCGATGTGTGTATGTGCGCGCTAGATGGATGCGCATATAGTGCACGAAACACAGGTTAACGATCAAATGGACGAGATTGTAGGGTCTACGCTCGAAGGACAGAGGTGAGGACGAGGAGCAGGGGAAGCCGCAGCAGCAGAGAGAATGTTACAAAGGGAAGAGGACCACGACGATGCCTATCGCAGCCCCCCAGGGATGGCGCGCTACAATCTGAGTCTGCGGCGAGTACCCACTACGCTGGCCCTCCCAGCAGCCCTCGAAAGTGGCGAGAGTTTCGCATATCGCAGCCCCCCACGAGTGGTCCGCTACAATCTGAGTCTGCGGAGAGTACCCACTATGCTGGCCCTCCCAGCAGCCCTCGAAACTGACAAGAATTTCACAGATCGCAACCACCCAGGGATGGCGCGCCATAATCTGAGTCTGCGGCGAGTACCCACTATGCTGGCCCTCCCAGCAGCCCTCGAAAGTGGCGAGAGTTTCGCAACCCGCAGCCCCCCACGAGTGGTCCGCTACAATCTGAGACTGCGGCAAGTACACATTACGCTGGCCCTCCCAGCAGCCCTCGAAAGTGGCGAGGGTTTCGCAGATCGCAGCCCCCCAGGGATGGCGCGCCATAGTCTGAGTCTGCGGCGAGTACCCACTATGCTGGCCCTCCCAGCAGCCCTCGAAAGTGGCGAGAGTTTCGCAAATCGCAGCCCCCCAGGGATGGCGCGCCATAATCTGAGTCTGCGGCGAGTACCCACTACGCTGGCCCTCCCAGCAGCCCTCGAAAGTGGCAAGAGTTTCGCAGATCGCAGCCCCCCAGGGATGGCGCGCCATAATCTGGGTCTGCGGCGAATACCCACTATGCTGGCCCTCCCAGCAGCCCTCGAAAGTGGCGAGAGTTTCGAAGATCGCAGCCCCCCAGAGATGGCGCGCCATAGTCTGAGTCTGCGGCGAGAAGAGGCGAGAGTTTCGAAGATCGCAGCCCCCCAGATGAGAAGCCCTCGAAAGTGGCGAGAGTTTCAGATCGCAGCCCCCCAGGGATGGCGCGCCATAATCTGAGTCTGCGGCCCCACTATGCTGGCCCTCCCAGCAGCCCTCGAAAGTGGCGAGAGTTTCGCAGATCGCAGCCCCCCAGGGATGGCGCGCCATAATCTGAGTCTGCGGCGAGTACCCACTATGCTGGCCCTCCCAGCAGCCCTCGAAAGTGGCGAAGTTTCGCAAATCGCAGCTCCCCAGGGATGGCGCGCCATAATCTGAGTCTGCGGCAAATGCCCACAAGCAGCCCTCGCGAGAGCAGATCGCAGCCCCCCAGGGATGGCGCGCCATAATCTGAGTCTGCGGCGAGTACCCACTATGCTGGCCCTCCCAGCAGCCCTCGAAAGTGGCGAGAGTTTCGCAAATCGCAGCTCCCCAATGGCGCGCCATAATCTGAGTCTGCGGCAAATGCCCACTATGCTGGCCCTCCCAGCAGCCCTCGAAAGTGGCGAGAGTTTCGCAGATCGCAGCCCCCCAGGGATGGCGCGCCATAGTCTGAGTCTGCGGCGAGTACCCACTATTCTGGCCCTCCCAGCAGCCCTCGAAAGTGGCGAGAGTTTTGCAGATCGCAGCCCCCTAGGGATGGCGCGCCATAGTCTGAGTCTGCGGAGAGTACCCACTATGCTGGCCCTCCCAGCAGCCCTCGAAAGTGGCGAGAGTTTCGAAGATCGCAGCCCCCCAGGGATGGCGCGCCATTGTCTGAGTCTGCGGCGAGTACCCACTATGCTGGCTCTCCCAACAGCCCTCGAAAGTGGCAAGGTTTCGCAGATCGCAGCCCCCAAGGGATGGCGCGCCATAATCTGAGTCTGCGGCGAGTGCCCACTATGCTGGCCCTCCCAGCAGCCCTCGAAAGTGGCGAGAATTTCGCAGATCGCAGCCCCCCAGGGATGGCGCGCTGCACAGGAGGCAGGAGGAAAAGGAGGAGAGAACAGGAGGAGGACACGCGACCCCACTGCTCTCTTCAAAACAAGAACCCAACCGAGGAGGGTTGGGAAAAAGAAGAGAAGAAGGATTGAAGGGGGAGGGAGAAGGATGCGCACAAGAAAAATTTGCCTGATTGGGGCTACGAGCAGAAAACACGTGGCAGAACCAGACGGAAAAATCGGGCGGGCAGACCCTGGCGGGCGGGTCGGGAAGGCGGGCCGAGGCGGCGATTCCTGCATACACTGTGAGGAAGTTCCGCGCGAGAGCGCAAGTTTGAATGACTTGTGAAGAAATACCAGGTGGGAGCCGTTGTTGTTGTTCCAGGGGCAGACGTTCCCTTGTAAAAAGGAGAGTGCGAGTCTGGGAACGGGCACTTCAATTGAAAGAACAATGCGCATCGGAGGGGGGGATCGACATTCATTGTTCTTCAGAAGCGAGAACTCAACAACAGCAGCAACAACAATCAGTTTAAGACTGTTCACTCTCGTTCTGCTCGCGTGTCATTCAACATGTGTCAGACTGTGTGCGTCTTGAATTATAATCCCTTTTGCGGAATATGTTCCTGCCCTGCCACGCGGAATTGGCCGTGCCCGTAAAACCGCAAGGACAGAAAGAATGGAAAAGGAAGATGCGATGAGGGAGTTGGGGAAGGGAGGAAGGAGGGAAGGGGGCAAGAGGGAGGGAGGGAGAAGATGGAGGACGAGAGGCATGAGCAAGACGGCGTAGCAAGAGGAATGTCAAGGAAGTCTCCAGCGAGAGCGCGGCTCACGAGCACAATATATAAGGAGGTCCCGAGCGAGAGCGCGGTTTCAGAGCGCCGAGAGAGCGATTCGCTGATAAGGTGGAAGGGAGTCGCAAGCGAGAGCGCGAATCCTGGATAACTTGCAAGGAATCAGGGCTCGACCAAAACGGCATTTCTTGTCTTCATTGTGCTTTCGTTTCCCCTCGTTTTGACTTCGTTCCGCCCGCCTTGACGGTCCACGAAATACGCAAAACACATTTTAGGTCGACCCCTGCAAGGAAGTCTCTAGCGAACGCCAGATTTCTCAGTACATTGTGGGAAATATCAGGCGGGAGCCGTTGTCGCTGTATTCCGGGGGCCAGCAGCGCCGTTTGGAGACCCAAGTCTGGGTGCGAGCCCCGGGAGGGGCACTTCAATTGATAAAGCACGAGGTGCACCAGAAGGGGGAGATCAACCAGGCCTTGTTTTAGAAAGTGCAAAGTTAACAGAAGAACTAGAAGCGTCAAAGAGACCCCCAAGAGGCCCAACAACCGCTTCCAAGAGGCCACCAAGAGGCCCCCCAGGAGACCCCAAGCGGCCTCTTGTCCACGACTCAAGCAGGGTGGCGGGACGAGTCGAACGAAGGCTACCAAGAAGAGGGAAAGGAGAACCAGGACAAGGGGTGAACTATTCGACGGCAATTCTGCGCGGCAACACAGCTCGATCCCTCAGCTCACTCGAGTACTCCTCATTTTCCGTAGGCGTCCACGGCAACAAGAGAACCGAAACCTGACCCTGACCGAACCCACAAACCGAACCTGCCGAAAACCGATGGACCTGAAGCAGCCTCGAAGGACGCAGCGGCGCAACAGCCGGACGAGATCCGAATCGAACGAATGCAGCCGACGGCGAAGCAGCCGGCGGACACCCTTGTTCTCAGGCCCCCGCTTCCGCCACATCTGGGCACGTGCCGGCTGCCTCAGCCTCCAGCGCGTCGACCTCTCCGCGGCTGCCCGGGATGGTCCTGGGCCACCAGGTGCCCCCAGCTTGTCGCGCCCCTGGGGGCGCTGGGCCTCGCAAGGGGGGCTCCGGGGGGCCATCCGGGCCTCCCTGGAAAGACTGGGACCACCCTGGGCCAGGGCCATCCCTGGCAACTGGAAGAAGAAAGACTGGCAAAGGCATCAACTTCCCATCGTTCGCACGAGTTTCCCGGATCGGCGCTCGAACCCCCTCCTTGGCGCGCGGAGCGCGCCAGGAGGCGCGCTGGAAGCGCCGCCAGGGGGGCCGAGCGCCGATTCAAGGCATCCGCGCGAACTCCGAAGGTTTATGTTTGCGTCTTCTTGGGCGTGGCTTCATGGGGGGGTCATAAATGGGGGGGTCAGAAACGGTCCCCTTTCGTGCCCCTTTCGAGCCCCTCCGGACCCCCAGGGGGCTCGTTTAGGTACCGTTTGGGTACCTTTTCGGACCACCCTCACCAACCCCCCATTTATGACCCCCCCATTACGCAACGCCCAATCTTCGTTTGAGGGGCAACGTCCGGGAGGGGGCCAGCTCACGGGGGAAACATCGAGCTGGATTCGACGACGCCTTGCCGAGAAATCGGCGGATGGGCACCCGATGGCGGCTCCGCACGGACCCGGGCGGGGTGGGCTGTCGGGCGGGCCCCTGTCGGCGATCCGTGGGCGAGTGGGTGGCTTTTGGGCCATGCCTCGGGCCTCCAGCGGCCGTTCGGGAGGATCTGGGCACCCCCGGAGCGCCCTCGGCGAGGCGCAGCTGCCAGAAGGCACCCCGAGGCCGCCAAGACCGCCGACCACCGACGAAGACGTCCGAAACCTACACAAAACTCGAACTTCGACGCCTTGCTCGTCCCCTGATCCCCCCCATGGACGCTACCCCTGCTTCGAGCAACGCCCGAACCTCCGCGGTCTTCTCATCCAGCTGCGCCCGCTCCCTCGCCAGCGCCTCCCGCGCTGCCTGCAGCGCGGCTTCGCGCACGGCGACGGCCTCCTGCAGCCTGCCTGAGGGGCAACGATCGGGGGGGGAACTGGCATTGGGGGGGGGGCATCGAGCTGGAATCGGTGATACATCGCCGGTAGATTGGCGATGGGCCCCCGGTAGCGAATCTTCACGTTCCTGGGCGGGGTAGGGCTATCGGACCCCTATCGGCGATAAAGACGATTGGGGGTCGATGCATCCTCCCCTGTATATGCCTATCCCCCCCCTTTCGTTGCCCCTGACTGCCCCTCTCCCCCCTCGCGCGCTCCAGCCGGGCACGCAGCGCGGCGCGCGACGCGGCGCCCTGCGCTTCCCGCGCCTCCGCCCGCCGCGTCGCATCCGCCGTCGCGGCGGCGGCCTCCGCCTGCCGCTTCGCCGCCTCCTCGGCGGCCGCGGCGGCGGCGGCCTGCGCCTCTTCCGCCCCCTCCGCGGCGCGCGCCGGCCTCGCCGCGGCCGCCGCGGTGGCCCGGGCCTCCCGGAGCCAGCGCTCCAGGGTGGCGACGTCGCCCTCCAGCGCCCGCAGGCGCGCACCGTGCTGCTGCTGGGCCTTCTCCTCCACCCTCTGCGCGAGCGCCTATCTCGGTAAACCAACGGGCACAGATAGAGGTACCCCCATGGATCTCTCCTTGGGCGCGTTCTGTCGAAGACTTCGCGGCGACTCCAGCCGTGGCGGCGAGGGCCTCCCAGGAGGACCACGGAGCCGCAAAGGACGGAGGGGTAGCGGCATCGGAACCTTTTCCCCGAGCAACTTTTCGCTAGAGAGTCGAAATTGTTGTGACAAATCATGGAAGAGTCCCACAGGGAGAACGGGGAGCCCGAGACCGCCCAGTCTGGCAGCCGTTTCGCCTGAAACATCCTCACAATGTATTTTCGAATCGTGCCTTCGCCTAAACACAGGCTACGCTGTTGGTCCACATGGCCGCTATATCCCGTACGCTATGTCATAGGAGTTCCCCGCATGAGCACACCAGACGCAAAACAAAGGAAAACCACGAACGTTGGAAGCAACGCCCCACCCTGTCTTTGAACTGATGATTCGTCTACCTCGTATTCCTGACCTTCCTCCCATTTCCGTATTCCTGCACTCCTCGTCCGCATGCCGCACATGTCGTCACGCTGTATCCTATATTTCAAATCTGCGTCACTTGTTGCTGGTCCGACCCTGAACAAAACAACGATCGAGATCGAGGATGGTGAGAAATCAGACATTATCCCGGCAAAGCAACCGAACACCGATGTGTAGAAGCATAGCTGGAAACATTGCCTGTGGTATTCATGTAAGAGCGCTGTTGTAGAATTATGGTGTTCTCGCAGTCGCATTCGGGTTCGCAGTGGCAGTCGCAGTGGCAACATCAGCGGCAGTCGCAGTGGCACTGCCAGTAGTTGCAGTAGCAATAGTTACACTAGCAGCAGCAACAGCAGCAGCAGCAGTAATAGTAACAGTAGTAGTAGCAATAGAAACAGTAGTGATGGTAGTAGTGGTAACAGTGAAGTAGTAGTCGTAGTGTGTGGAGTGAACAATTGGAGTGATGGGAGCAGTGGTAGCAGCAGTAGAAACACTGCTTTCGATAACGGTATCTCCAAATGAGATATTTGTATACATGCATTGAGGTCTAAACAAGACACTGCGATCAACGGATGTGATTCCAAACGAGACACTGCTATCAACGGGGTGAGCCTCAAACGACACACTTGCATCAATGAATGTAGCTCCAAAACAGGCACTCCCATGAATGGATTTAGTGTGATGTCGTACTAGTAGTAGTAGTAGTAGTAGTAGTAGTAGTAGTAGTAGTAGTAGTAGTAGTAGTAGTAGTAGTAGTAGTAGTAGTACTAGTAGTAGTAGTAGTACTAGTAGTCGTAGTAGTAGTAGTAGTAGTAGTAGTAGTAGTAGTAGAAGAAGCAGTAGTAGTAGTAATAGTAGTAGTAGTAGTAGTAGTATGGGCACGGACCCGTAAGACATGAGTCTCCACCGGGGTGCTCGGCGAAGCCATTGATGATGATGTGATGATTGAGGAGGATGGTGGGATGATGACCGCGCTACTTGGATTTGTTCTGTCCGTCTTTCTCTGCCTCCAACCAGATCTTGTAAGACACCTCGCAAACGGAAGAGGAGCGCACTGAGGAGCGGCGTGCGAAGCGGACAGTCGGCAAGACTTGCAGGCTGAGAAACACCGCAGAAACTCGGAGGCTGAGAAGCACCGCGGCCGCGCAGTCCCACTACTGCTGGAACTAAGATTACAAATACGTACGCCGAGCAGCACCGTGGACACGCGGGCTCGGATACTTCACCTCTCCCGCTTGTATTTTAGGAAATCGCGCCAATCCGGCGGCTGGCAAGTACCGAGGAGGCGCAGGCTGAGAAGCACCGCGCGAGTGCAGGCTGAGAAGCACTACGCGAGCGCAGGCCACGGCATTGCGCGTCACATGAATGCAGGCTGAGAAGCACCACATTTTGTTTGCCAGAGACCACTCCCAGGCCACCTGATCCCGCAACAACAGCCACGGCGTAGCTGCCACAGGGGCCGCAGAGAGCAACGGCTCGGTCACCCAATTGGCCTGTCGGTGAATCACAATGCGCGCGTGGCTCCATGAGCCATTGCATCGCGCGTTGCGAGGCACCAGTGTGCTGCACGTGTTGCTGCCGTAGCAGAAGACGGCCTCTGGGGCCCAGTGCGGATTCCAGCGGACAACGTAGACCCTGTGGACGCCATTCCGGATGACGTCGCGCGCACCCTCGATCTGTGCCACCCATCGAAGCCAGTCAAACGCTGAGCCATCGGTGATGTCAACAGCACCTGGGGCAGTCTCGCCACGGTGGTAGTGCAACAGCGTTTGGAGAGCGGCGCTCGCTTCGTCGCGGCCCACAGTCTGGCGCGAGCGGGCGGCCTCTTGCAGGTGCTCCAGTGCGAAGAGCAGTGGGGCATCACCGCCAGGCACGGCAGGCTGAGCAGCGCCACCGCTAGGCATGGCAGGCTGAGCAGCGCTGCCACCAGGTGCATCAGGCTGAGTAGCGGCAGGCCCAGGCACCGCAGGCTGAGCAACGGCGCGTGGTGGACCGACATAGGTGGGCTCATCGGGTCGGCCGTTCCTGCGGTAATGCAGGCGCATGGCTGAGCCGTCTGCGCGAACGAACTCAAAGAAATGCCTGCCGTGGCCATCCGTGTTGGAGTAGTTTGGGTCGCGCTCTGTCTCGACGACGCGAAAGAGAACCCGGGCGATGCCCTGGCCGATTACCCGGTCAGCGAGACCCGGAGCGGCAGACCGAAGCAGTTGCTTCCAGTCGTAGAACGGGTCTTATGTTACGTCTCTGAACGACACGTCGCTGGCAATGCACTGCGCGCGCAGCGCGCGCTGCCATTGGCAGGCGGTCTTGCCACCCATGTCTGGTGCACGGGGGACCTCTTCGAGGTGAGCTCGCTCAAAAACCACGTCGAAATCTGGCTCAGCAGGCGGTCCGGGCGGAAGCGGCAGAGACTCCTCCGGGACATCGGATGGTGGCGGGGGCGGCGGGGGCGGCGCCGCCTTGTCGCGCCCTGGCATTGCGAGAAAGCAGGCTGAGGAACACCGCCGCGGCTGGGCGCACAGGTGGATCTCGAGCAAACAAGTGGCTACGGATCTTGTCGCATGTTGATTCGTACAATCAATACTGGAGAGCTAGAAGTGTCCTCAGCGGTGGCAACGGTAGTACCCCCAGTCGGAGTAGTAGTTGCAATGGCAGTAGCTGCAACAGCAGTAGCTACAGGAGCAGCAGCAGCAGCAACATCAGGAGTACTCTGAAGGGCAGTGGTAATGGTAGTATTAGTAGGCCCACCAGTGGTACTAGTAGTACGAGCTGGAGTGGTAGGACGATCAGTAGTAATGGTAGCAGTAGAAGTAGTAGTAGAAGTAGCAGAAACAGTAGTAGTACCAAGTACACATTGCTATCCACTAGCGTATGCGTAAACGAGAGACTGCTCGCCATGGATATAATCTGGAAAGATGCACTGCTATCACTAATGATTTGTCTCTGAATGAGACACTGCTGTCAATGGATGTAGATTCGAAGGACTCGCTGCTTTTCGACAAGTGTATCTCCAAAGGAGACCCTGCCATCAATGGATTTATATCCAAATGAGACACGGCCATCAATGGAGACAGCTCAAAACGATGCATTGTCTTCAATGGATTCTGTTTCTTCAAACGAGACGCTTCTATAAATGGATGTAGGTTCAAACGAGACACTGATATCAACGGATGTTGGTCCAAACGAGACACTGCTATCAATGGATTTAGTGCGGAACGGAACACTGTTCTCAATAGGACATTTGTTTGCAAACGAGACACTGCCGACCGCCGCAGCATCGACGCGTCTAGAAAAGCAATTGCGGGGTGAGAAGCACCGCAGGCAAAGAGTGAGTCAGTTGCGGCGGCGAGCGCAGCCGCCGCGGGGGCTCGTCGACAGCCGCGGCAGCACCTTCGGCACTCACTCCCGCACCCACTGTAGCACGGTATTCTTGTGCTGAAGCCAAAACTTTGCGGTGGCACTCACAAGAGCAATGGCAGGCTGAGAAGCGCTGCGGGCCCAAGTGAGTAATCCCGCACAAGCAGTTACAACAGCAACTGAGGGCTGAGATGCACCGCAGGCGAATGCGAGTCAGCGGGGGCTGTGACGCGAGAGACTTGAGGCAAACATCGCTGGCTGACTGCAAGGCGAATCCGAACCCGCCGAGCAAGCAGCGAAAAAGCCTGAGGCACGCGAGGTGCAGCAAACTGAGAAGCATCGCTGGCAAGACAGCAGCACCTTATGTCAAGCTTTCTCCTGAAGGGTCAGGAGCACCGCCGCCAGACCGAGAACTATCAGCATGTCCTGGCATTAAGGTGCGCAGTAGGCGCTGCGCAGTTCCTTTGAAAGGAAATCTTCGAAAGCAGGGCTGTAGCCAAGAAGGCTACGGGGACGATGATGATGATGAAGATGATGAGTCTTGGAAGTCTGGGAAGTGGAAGAGCACGAAGTGGCGTACAGTTGGCTCCGGGCATTCAAAATGTGGCCCGGGAATAGAAGTTCTGGGAAATCGAAGAGCACGAAGTGGCCTACAGTTGGCTCCGGGCATTCAAAATGTGGCCCAGGAATTATGTTCTGGGGAGTCCAAGAACACGAAGTGGCCTACAGTTGGCTCCGGGCATTCAAAGTGTGGCCCAGGAATTATGTTCTGGGGAGTCCAAGAACACGAAGTGGCCTACAAATGGCTCCGGGCATCCAAAATGTGGCCCGGGAATGGAGTTCTGGGAAGTCGAAGAGCACGAAGTGACCTACAGTTGGCTCCGGGCATTCAAAATGTGGCCCGGGAATGGAATCCTGGGAAATCGAAGAGCACGAAGTGGCCTACAGTTGGCTCCGGGCATTCAAAATGTGGCCCAGGAATGGAGTTCTGG